GAGGGCAGCGGGGGATGCTCCTCGTGGGGAAGGGGCCGGGCGGGCCGGGGCCGGGCACGGGCGAACCCCGCGCGGCATAATCTGTAAATTATTAGGAGTGGAAGTTTCCAGAAATATTTTTTTGTGTGTGTGTGCGTGTGTCTGTGCAGCAGTATTGAAACGTCCGCCTGCATCACGTGGGGAGCCCTGTATAGAGCGCAGGGCTGGAGCCCAGGGGAGGAGGAGGAGGAGGAGGGAGGGGCTGCGGGGCCGCCGCGCTCCGCAGGGCCCCGGCCCGCCCGACCCACCGCCCGGGCTCGTTCCCCGCCGCCAGCCGGGCCCCGCCGCCCTTTCCCGGGAGTCGGGAGCCGCTTCCCGGGAGCCGCGGCCCTGCCCGCCCTCCGCGGCGCTGCGGCGGCAGCCGCGGGAGGGCCGCCGAGCCGGGTGGGTGGGAGTTATTTCCAGCCCGAGAGGAGCGCTCCGAGGTGCGGGGCAGATGTGATTTAATCCGGCTCGTCCTCCCGCTTCACGTGCGAAGCGGCGAGAGGGGGAGAGGTGCTTTGGCTGCAGTCGCTGGTGTGTGGAGTGGGATGCGAGCGCGGCGTTTTCGGAGCCGCTCACCCTTCCTGGGTGGGATTTGCGAGTGATGCAGCTGATTCCTTGGAAGAGGAGGGCACTTCACTTGCATGGCGTGCTTGGGAATGGGGCACAGTGACTCTCACAGGGTGGTTTTGTTTTTTTGTTTTTTTTTTTAATCGCTGCCCCCAGTGAGCTTTAAAAAGCTGGGTTGAAGGTGCTCTAGGATTCGTGGTGAATACTCAACATTTCTTCCTGTTAAATGCCTGCTCTTGTTGCTGTGCTGCCGAAATGAATCGGGTCTAGCATAACAAGCAAACTGTTGTGTTAAAGGTCCAGGGTCATCGAGAGTTGGGATAACTGTGTAAACAGTGCTGTAAATGCAGTTCTTTTGACCTTCGGTAGATGTCACATTCTTGCCATGTTGTAGGTTGTAGTTCAGATTCTTTTTTCTTTCTTTCTTTTTTAAACTTTCCCTCTTTTATTTCTGTTTTCCCGTTTATTGGCAATCAAGAATTGATCAGTGGCGGGTTCCTGGAGGTGAAGTTTAAACCTGTTCGGAGTTAGGGCGCGATGGGGGAGGGAGAAGTGCAGGAGCGGAGTAAATCAGAGATTAAGAGCTCCGTGTGGGGACAGCGTCAGGAGTTGGGCGCAGTTGGTGTTGACCACGAAGCCGCCATTTCTGTGTTCCAGCTGCCCGGGGAGGTGTAGGTCATTCCGAAGATAATGCTGGGAGTGGCGAAGGGCCCTATTCAAAACATTTCCTTTCTGCTCCCGTGTGGTGAATGGCTTCTCCTGGTCACGCGCGGCTCCTCCTTGGCCCTCTCGGGGGCTGCGTGAAAACCACGGAGGGAGGCTCGGACCTGCAATGAATGGCCCTTCCTACCTGAGGACAGTTTGGAAAGCGCTTTCCCGGCTCCCGCGTGAGTGCTGGAGGCCAGATGTGGACAAAAAGGGGCGTGCCTGGAGCCGCGTGGCTCAGGGAGCATTAACTGCTCTGCTCCCGTCCGCGGGGGCATTTTCCTTCCTGTGCTGTTGCTCGGTGTCTTCGTCTGCCAGGTGACATTTCCAAGTGTCCTCCTGACCCAGAGGAATGACATCAAGAGTGGACTCGGCCTTCCCTGCTGTTCTGTTTCTGGTTTCCAAACTTCGCGTTGCGATTTTGGAAACTTTGGGAGTTGGGGGAGGGAGTGTTAATTAAATTTTAATTTATTTTGTTTTCTACGGGGTGTTCATTTCCTTCTGGTTTTCCAGGTAGATGTGAAAAAAGACTGACTGGTGTTGAAATGGAGCCCTCCAAATTAACGTAGTGATACTGACTTTTTAACTTGAAAATCCAATTAAAATATTTGGGTTTGAAGCTATTTTTATATATATAGAAGTAAAAGAAAGTGCTTGAGACTACTTGCAAATACGCGTTTCTGAACAAAAGACTTTCCTTGTCTGAATGATACTGTAGGACTTTCACCTAATTAATTAGTAGTTCCAAGGGTTGAGGCACAGGTTTGTCTTGCTCCTCACTTTTGAGCATGACTAAAATACATAAAGCGTAAATCAAATTCTTCCTTACACAGGGAGTTTATTTAGTAAGAGCACACCTGACTTGGGGTTACCCCGAAGAAGGGTTGGCTGGGTGTGTTTCTGGAAGAGTTTCAGATTGTATCTCTGAGTACGCACATGGCTCTAGTGAAACTTTTTTCATTGATCCTGCAGTTGTCCAGACAGACTTCTGGCTGTTTGAAAGGGCAGTTTCGTCTGGAATTTGTACCTGTGCAGAGCTCTGAAAAGAGGGGGGTGAGTGGCCCAGAGGTGCTGTAGAGGTGGAGGGTGGGATGATGTCTTAACAGTCACTGTGAGAAAAGGGCAGTAAATTTGATTAGGAGTCTCCAGCATGAGTGGTGTGTGTGTGAAAAGGGTAGAGTATAATTTACCATACAAAGTCTTATGGCTTCTGGCTAATTTTCCTGCTTTTCACGGTTATCTTTTCCTTGTACCAGTCTTTGGCTGGTAAAGCATCTTCCATGCCCACCCCTTTGCATAATATTGAGGCTGCTCTGTCTAGGATAAAGAGTTAAAAGAGTGTGTCCCTGCTTTGAGGGGACCTGAAACCTCCAGTAGAATTCCATTTGGGTTGGAATTGCTCTCACGTGGCACAGAGTAACCTGCTGATTTAACACTCCCTTTGCTTCGTGTTCTCAAAGTGTCTTCAGTCAACTTACTTAGTTTTAGTGCTCGTTATTTACTTGTATGTAGTTAACTTGCAAGGTGGTGTTTTTTATCCCCCCTCAAGTATTTGAAAAATGCCCTCTGGCTCAGTTCTTGCCTGTGTGTTTGTAGATCACGTTTCAGCTGCAGTCCCAAGTGTTTAAAAGCTTTTAGAACTCCCCTAAATGTGCTGTTGGCCTTGGGAACTCAATATTGGGCTGAGATGGCCCAGTGGGGGGGGTTTGGGTGTAATGATCCCCGGGGGTTCCCACCAGCAAACTTACTGGTTGACCCGTATTTAGGAACTGTTAGGTATTGATACCTGCTCTGAAATAAATTCTAGGGTGCTGATAATGCAGCCCATTGACCAGTCAGGCTCTTAGTAAGTGGGTTTTTACCTGTTGAAAGGCCTGAGAGATGAGTTGGGGCAGTAATGGATGAATTTTTCAGGGGAAAAAAAAAAAAAGGCAGTTTATCCTGTTGTGTTCCCCCAACCAAAACAGGGTTGGATTCAGTGCTACCTGCTACGAGCATCTCGTTTCAGTGAGATGAGCTAACTTGAAGCACTTGCTTTGCAGCTGCACCTGATCATAGTTTCTTACTAACCCTTTTTTCTCTCAAATTTCTTTTGCAGTAATCTATGCCAGCAATTATGACAATGTTAGCAGACCATGCAGCTCGTCAGCTGCTGGATTTTAACCAGAAACTGGATATCAATCTCTTGGACAATGTGGTGAACTGCTTGTACCATGGAGAAGGTGCACAGGTAAGGTGGGCTTGGAACCTGCTCTTGTTGACAGTGTTTAACCTTAGAACAAATCAGTTAAAAAAAATTTATTCCTTACAATTCAGGCCCATTAGTGAAGTTACTGTGCTGGTGACTGGCATGTCACTGTGAATGTCCTGTGAATTCCTATAGTGAAGTGACACTTAGGGAGATGTTTGGGGTGTGTTCATTTCTAGCTTGCCTTCTGCTATGGAGAGGTGGTAGCAAGGTCCCTTCTGCTTGCAGCTCACCTTTTCTGACTTAAATCTTCAGGAAGGTCTGAATTACCTGTTCCTTGTTCTCATGGACAGGACTGTGAAGCCATAAATTCAACGTTGGCTTCGCTGACAAATTGTATTTACCAGAACAGTCTTAGTGATGTTATTTACTCTGTGTTATAAAGAAACACGTCACACACATCTAAGAGAAGAGTTTGTTCCTCTCTTGTGTCTGGTCTCTTTTTGCCCATTGCTGTTTGCACAGGTGGTTCTTGGCACTATTTGGACTTGGTGCAGATTGTGAATTTTTAAGTTGAAATGTAGGGCCTGGGTGCATTTGTGTCTTTGCATGTATTGCCTTGAAAGTGAATCTTGTATTGCTTTTATCTATTTCTCGAACTGCTTTGGAAATAAGACTTAAAATGTTGGAAGCAAGCATTGCTACGAGGGTGTTGGCCTAGTTCCTCGTCTGGCAGATTTTCATTGTCCACTCTCAACAAATCAGGAGTTCCAGTGTCAGGCATAGATAGTCTTGCACAACAATAAGAAGCAAATTAAATGAGACAAAGTTCTTAATGCTTTTCTATTCCTCCCAGCTGTTAGAATAAACAACAATATACTTGCTTTGTGTATCTGTTTAGGGGGAAAAAAAAAAAAAGCTTTTGTAAGGCTTACTGATGTGAATTCCTACAGGTATTGAAATACCTCGCTGTGATTTGAAATATTTGCATGTCGAGTGTTCTAAGTTCAAATAGGGAACTTGCTGGAGGTTTTTTTTCATGCTCAAATGACAGTAAATTGCTTGTGTTTTGTGCCTTCAAAGTATGGACTTCTGAGCGCTTGTTTTGTGCTGTGTTTGTTTGCTGCCTTACAAAACAAGGGATGTTGATAGCAGTGCTTGGTTTGAGTGGGCTTGAAAAAGTTGGGAAGGTTTATGAGGAGAGTAAGGGTTTACCACTAAAGAGAATTATCAAATTGCCATTGTTGTGGCCCTGTGAGAAGTTGCTTCACTTAAAAAAGCTGGATGTAGTCTCCAGTGTTGGGAAAATTATTGCAATAAGAAGCAAAAATTCAAGAGGTGGTGTCTAACTGGCAGAAGTGAATTATGATATAAAGTTATTTGAAATACCTGTACTAATATGTGTCACCTCAATGAAAGCTTTTTAGGTGTTTTAGTACATTTTAAAGGTGGAGACATTCCAGTCTTTTACTTCTCCCAGGGAGTTCAAAGGTTCCTGCAGGAAAAAAAATGGTTCTGTGTGGAGTCTGAGAGCTCAAATCAGAAAGGGTGACAGGAGTAATGGAAGTTGAGGAAACTAAATATTAAAATTGGGGGGAGATTCGCAATGGTTTGCCTGGACTAGATTAGGGTAATGTTGGGGTAAAACAGGTTTAAAAAGCAGCCTGGATGGCCTGTGCTGAACTTGCTTTCACATTCACCTGTCTCCTCCTCCTGCTTAAATCTTATCTCTGCTTGCAAAACTGTTATCTGCTCATCTGTGTTAGGCAAGAAAGAAGCTATTTTCTCTCTTAAACCTTTAAATGCTTTTCTCTTCTTGGCTTTTTTTTGGGGGAGGTTTACTTCCTGAAAAGAACGAGTGTCCCCACCCCACACATGACTAAGGAGATTTCATACAACTCCTGGGTGGTTTCCTGCTCTCCTCCCAGACTCCTCATTCCACTGAGCTGTTCAATCTTCACCTGGCCACAAGGATGATTTGCTGATGTCTTTTTGGTACCAACACCACCACGAGGCTTTGTTCTTGACCGAGCGTTCCTGTTAAATTTACGCTGCTCAGAAACTGCAGGAGTTGATGTCCAGAAAAGGGAGGGGTTAGTGGGTATGACAGTGAACATTCCAGCGTTTGGGAGAGGGACGTGGAGTGTCTGTGAGTTTGTTGGTGTTGAAATTGGATCCTGTGACATGTCACCAGTATTAGGAGCAGAAAGGAGGCCAGTATGAAAACACACTCTCAGATTGACCCTGGAAGCAATGCAGCTATTCCTTCCCTCTTTGAACTGGATCAAAAGTGCTGACTTATACTTTTTTTTTTTTTTTTTTCTTTTTTATTCTGATGCCATACTGTAACAACATGGCTCCACTGGCCTTAACCAGTGTTTGTGTGGTACTTGTCCATGTCAAACCTGCAGGGACTTCCCTGCTGCTCAGAGTCTCTGTCAGACTGGGAATTGCACCACTGGGATCATTCATACCAGGATTTTACAGCTACTTTAGACATTTTTGCTCTTCGCTGTTGTGGCTTCCAATTTTAATTTGTAAATCCCATACCCAGTTTGTCTGTTTCTTGCATTGTGTGTATGTAGGGTTTGGGTCTTGATTGGGTTTCTGTCTTACTGAGAATCCTGTTTTCTTGTGCCAGTTGATGATTAGCTCAGGTGTCTCCTTGGAGCAGACCAGAAATCTGCATGGCTGTAGTAAAGTTGAAGTTAATCCTAAAGTAAAGCTTTACCTGCTTTGTAATTCTGTTGAATTGGCTCTGCAGAGAGCAGTGAAAGGATGAACTCAGTTCTAAGCGAGCTGTGATGTAAAATGTTCCTTTTGTTGGTAAGGTAGTGCCTGATAATTGTAGGGGCTGTGATTTGCAGCGAGGTTCGTCAGTAAACTGCACTTTTGGAAACAGCAAGCATCGTTTTGGCTCCCTAAAAAATGCTTTGGGACATCCAGGCCTTTGAAAAGGGTGGCTGAAATGAATCCAGCTGTTCCAACGTGTAATTGCTTCAAATGAGCTTTTGCAAGTTGCTGAAACCACAGCCTCTTGTACAATAATTGATCGTGTCAGTCCCCAGGAAGAGCAAACCATCAGCATGACCAACTCCCTTCCTCCCCCCACCCCAGTCAGTGTTATTCCTGCTTTGTGAGCTGTCACATGCACCGAGGATTCCTGAGAAGCAGGGATGGGAGACCTCTAATGCTCTGCTCCTGGATTCTTCCAAATCCAGCCTGTCGTTCCTAGCTCAGCAGCTTCACAGGGTGATGCAGCACTCCTCAAGGCTGCCACCTCACAGGGGTGTTTCCACTGCAACCAGAAAGTTTGGCCGCTCTGGAGTGGAGTTTTATCAAGATGACTTTCCCTGTAATGTGTGATGGTCTGGATTCATTGGGTATGGAAGAGTGAAAGTAATTCCTGCTTGCCATCAGTGGCTTTTGGAGTTTGGTGGGTAATAAACTTCAGCTGGCACAGAGGGAGGCTCGAGGGACTTGTTGCTGCTGCTTGAGCTCGGCCTAACTCTTGGCTGAGGGAGTTAAAGAAGTGTTCCATGTTAATGTCTTCACTGAGAGTATGGAATTTCTCAAATAATCTCACACTAACACTGTTTTTAATCAAATTTGCTTTTAGCAAAGAATGGCACAGGAAGTGTTGACTCACTTAAAAGAACATCCCGATGCGTGGACAAGAGTTGATACAATTTTGGAGTTCTCTCAGAACATGAACACCAAAGTAAGCAAATCAACTTTTATTTATATTCAGTTTTCCTCTTTCTCCCATTCATAAACTTTGAGGAAGGTATCTCATTTTTAGCTTTCTTGATTCCAACCGCATTTTTTTAATTGCCTTGTTCTCCAAGTTGGCTTGAAACGAGAATTGTAAATGGATAAAATATTCAGCCCTCCTTTAACATTGACAAGAGTTCCCCTCCCCCCCTTTTTTTTTTTTTTTTTTTGAGGATGAGCTGAATTGGAAACCCAAAATTCTTCTCAAGGCACATAAAAAGCCAGTTGCAAAGACTGGTGTGTCTGTGGACATCTGAGTCACAGTTCTCCTAGAGCCACATTTTGTCCTTGGGGAAGTGCTTGGCTGTTTGCAATCACAGTAAAAGCCACGTGCACGTAACTGAGGAGAAAATCTGTCCCTGGGAGTGTTAAGATGTCAGTGAAAGTTAATTTAACCCCCCCCAAACTCTGTAGTATGAGATCTGCTGTGCAGAACACGTTTGCTTTGTGCTGCTGTGTGAAACCCATCCATCCACCGTGGGACAGGCTAAAAGGGGCACCAGTCAGGGCTTTTCCTGCAATTTTAAATGCTTTGCCTTAAGACTTCTTAAGTTTGAACCTAAAATGTGCTTTCACTGTCTAAAGTTGATGATTATTATCTCAGATAACTGACATGCATGTTTTTCTGCTGGATACACACTGTGTTCAAACAGAAGAAAGTCGTGTTTGGATGGTTTCTGAAGTCATGTGATATTCCTGAAGCAGTTCCATATTTTTTTTCTTCCTTGCTCTCTGAAGTTGAGGGGAAAACAGTTTAAAGAACTTCCTCAAAGTAACACCTTTAAGCACCTTTAAGTAACAGTGTTTGCCTGTTTGCTTGCCTGGTAAACTTTGCTTTTTATACTGACAGACATTACTAATGTTTAAGTCGATTTATCAACAGTATTTTTAAAAACTCAAAATTGTGTCTTGTGAAAAAATGAGATGATTAGAGGAACAGAAAGAAAGCAACAGGTAAAGAATTCTTCCATTTACCATAAAACTGCAAATGATGTGGTGCTCGATTTCTGCACTCTGACATTTGGCTTTTTTTTTTTTTGTGCGATCATCTTTTTTTTTTTTTTTTTTTTTTTTTTTTTTTTTTTTTTTTTTTTTTTTTTTTTTTTTTTTTTTTTTTTTTTTTTTTTTTTTTCTCTCTCTTTAATTGAAAGCTTGTTAACACTACCTGATATTAATCATAATGTTCCATTATGTTGATTGCTTGTAATAGGAAGAAAAGGGGTGTCTTCCTGTGCAACTGACACAGCTAGGCTTTGACGGCAGGCCTCCACAAGGTCTACCCTTTTGATTCCCTTTAACTCAATTATTCTGTTCATCAATTGTTTATTTTTTTTTTTTTTTTTTTTTTTTTTTTTTTTTTTTTTTTTTTTGTTTTTTTGGTTCTTGGGAGGCGGGAGGGGAAAGGGGATTCGCTGCATAAAATAAGTAAATAAAGGGTGCCGTGGAGATTTCTACCAGAAGGGATCATTTCTTGCTGCTTCTGTGTTTTTTTTTCTTTTTTTTGGAGTTTTTGCTGTTGTTTGTCCCTCATCTTCATAACTGGGCGGGGAATTAGGGAATTAGGAATAAGCAAAGCAAGACCAAAGGGTTTTGATGAAATAGTTTTAATCCCATAGTTCAAATGGCAGAACTTGTTGAAAGGTATCAGTGACTTTTTTTGTGTGTCTCACTGTCAATGGGATAGAAATAATTTAGACCCATCAAATCCAATGAAGCTTAAAAACGAAATAAAAAAACCTTGCAGGGTGTTCAGGCAGGCTGAGGAAGCCCTTCCAGTGGGATGTGCAGGTGGAAGTTGTCCTGTTGCAGTACTTGATCAAATGCCAGAACCGTGAAATTGGTGTAGGTTACTGTTCTGGGGCCAATTATAAACCAGAAATGAGTCAAATGAAACTTAAAAACAAAGTAAAAAACCCAGGGGGCCCTTTGCAGGATGCTCAGGCAGGAATGAAGAAGCCCTTCCAAGGGTATGGCAAGAAGGATGTGCAGGTGAAGGTTGTTCTGTTGGAGTAGTTGATTAAAAACCTTGATAGTTCAAATGCCAGAACTGTGGTATTGCTGCCAGTGATTTTTTTGGGGGGGGTTTAGTGTATCTAATTATCAGGGAAACATAAAAAATGAAAACCATCGAGTCAAGTGTAGCTTAAAAAAAAAAAAAAGTAAAAAAACCCCAAAGGTCCCTTGCAGGATGTTCAGGCAGGCTGATGGTTTTGTAATTGGTGTCAGTGGCTGTTTTGGGCTGGGTGTATCTAATTGTCAAGGAAATATAAAAAATTAGAACCACCAAGTCAGAGGAGGTTTAGAACCAAAGCAAAACACCTTGCAGGATGTTCAGGCAGGATGAAGAAGCCCTTCCAACATGGAATGGCCAGAAGGATGTGCAGGTGAAGGTTTTATTCCTGCTGCTGTTCAGTTTTATGTGGAAATACAGGGAAAAAGGAGTATTTTTAGGACTGGGGAAGAGGTGGACAGGACACTGCAGAGGGCAGAGCTGAAGCCACACGTGGAGAAAAGGAGTAGAAACGTCGATATCAGGAACCTGGTGCAGAGTTTAAGGTGCAGGAATCCAGATGAGACATTGGAAGAGATAATGAGGGATAGGTGTGGCAGATTGCTGCAGGTGCCTGTCCTTTTCTTGACTCCAGGAAATACAAGTGGGGGGAAAAAAAAGACTTAAAAGATGAGGTCTGTCCTTAATTTGTCCTCAGGCTTTTCATTGAACTTTGGTCATCTGGTGCTTTTGTAGAGTTAAACCAGACCTGCCATTCTGGTTGTTGAAGCTAGAGAAGTTCACCTACAGAAAGAAGTTTGGAAGCCAAATGAACATTTTTGGTCAGCTGTCACCTGACAGAAATATTGATGTGTGCCTGTAGAATGTAGACATTTAATAGGGTTTAGATCTGCCACTGTCTGATGTAAATATTCGTCCTGTCAATTTTTTTAGGGGCTTTTAGTGTGTTTTGTATTGGGAGCCTGGATCAGTTGCAGATAAGTCTATAAATTTACAGCAGTGGCTGAAATCTTCTCCTGGGAAGCATTTTGCTTAAGAATGTTATTTTTTTTTTCCATGAAAATTCCCTTGATTTCAGTCAGTTTTTCTGCCAGTTAAGTCAATGTACAGGTTAAAATCTAGCTGATAAACTTCTGCTTTTTTTTTTTTTTTGATACCCAAAATTTTGGAAGGTGACAGAATATTTTACAAATGCAGGATGTGCAGGTGGAACCTCCTTGGAACGGGGCAGGGGGTCAGGTAGAGAAGCAGATGGATGCAGGTTATGTCAAGATGAGAACAGCAAAGCTGACAGTTGAATGCAATGTAGTTTGGGACAATCTACATTGTGTTTTTTTTTTTTTTTAATGAAAATGAAGCTCCCGTGATCCCTTTTGGTCGAAATGCTCCTGCTCCTACTCTGTGTAACAACTAACCTTTTTAAAGAGGAACTCTTATTCTCAGCCAAACTTTGAACTGTGGAAACTTGAGTTTACCTTTCAGGCATTTGATGTGATGTGGGTTTTGGTTTGTTTTTTTTTTTCTTCTTCTTCCTAATCCACTGCAGATAAAGTGAAGGGGAAACTCCTCGGCCCCTTTTCTCTCCTGTCCATTCATGCTAATGGGGTTTTACTGATGAAAGCTCTTTGATATCATCACAAACTCCTTTTCCCTATTACTGTGAGTTGGCAGTAGGGACAAATGGGCAGAGGGAAACGGTCCTTTACTGATTTCTGGGCAAACATAACGGGTTCCATAGGAAGGAATTCCTGAAAGGTAAAATGATTTCCAAGAGCTTATTCACATTTTTATTTATTTTTTTTTTTAATTGTTCTTTGACTGAGCACAAAAGTTCATCTTTAAATAGTAGAAATAGCTGCCATATCGGGGTGGGTATTGAAATTAAAGAAACCTGTGGGTTGTCTTGCTGTTCCTAAAGTAACACACCAGTGAAGTTTGGGAAATACTTCCTTTAGGAAGTGCCAGTGTCAGGACATGCCATGCTAAGACAAGATTTCTTTTTTTTTTTCCAGCTCTTAGAGGAACAGTAGGAAGCTTGAGGCACCATCCAAGCTGCTAAATATTTTAGGAGCCTGGTTGTGTTAATGCTCAGACACAGGGGCAGTCATTTATGATACAAATTCATATCTGGCTGCTGCTTCTCCAGAAATCCCAAATTTTCTGCCAGAGGGCTTGTCATTATTGGTTTCCCCCCCCTCCTGGTGTGAGCATGAGCAAACAGCAGGACTTAGCCTAGCCAGGAATAAACCAAGGAAATGCAATGCATGAAACCTCAGTAAATGGGTGAATAGCCATGTATTTCATGAAACTGTTAGTTTAATAATCTTGAAAGCCTTAGATGTTGAAGTGTGAATGTCTGATTGATTGAATGAGAGTCCTGAGAGCTGGTTAGCCCTACAGTAACGTGCTCACATTTTGTTCTTCTCCCATTTCAGTATTATGGGCTGCAAATCTTGGAAAATGTGATAAAAACAAGATGGAAGATTCTTCCAAGGAACCAGTGCGAAGGTACGGAGGGGTTTTCCCTTTCCTCATAACTCGGGGTGGGAACTGAGATTTAAACTGTCAGTCCCTGTGTAAGGAATTTTCAGCTTCAAATAGAATTTGGAGTATTTTTTTTTGTCCTGTAGTTAAGATTGCCAGAGCTTTTGTGTGGATGATGAAATCACATCTTTCCTTTTTGTGATCCTGGTCTCAGTTGGGGTGGTGAGCTCCTGTAATTCTGCTGCACCTGGGAGTGTGTGCAGATTTGTGTGACCTTTTTGAATTGTTTTAAAATAGAAACAGTGAAGAAATGCACAGTTTTACCTATTAATGGTCATTCTAGGCATTCATGTGAGTGTATATACAGCTTGTATATAGATTGCTTGTAATTGGGGCAGTGTAGGGTAATTAACCTCCCTTCTCCCATCACTGCAAGGAATCTGCAAGTCTGAAATGCTGTTGATTTTATGGATTTTTTACCTCCCTTATGGGTTGCAGTGGACTTGTAGCTGTTGCTGTGGTAAATGGGGGTGCCTCAGTGGGACAGGAGTGGGGCTTTATTCACGTGCTTTTCTGCCAAGTCATTATGTTAAGCACAACCCCTTTAAATCCTTGATGTTGAATGTTGTCACTTGGCTTTTTATTAAGGGCAGCTTTTGGAACTCACTGAAGTTATCCCAAATCTCTGTGTTCTGCTGGGAGCTTTTATTCAATTTTTACTGCCCGTGCTCAGGTCCCAAAACTGTATTATTTGAAACAGAAGAGTTAAATGGTGATGAAAGCAAAGGTGTGGGGAGAGACATTCACGTTTTTGTGCTTGCCACTCTTCTCACCTTTCCCCCCATCCCACAGATAAAGCAAAAGTGAAAGTGAGGTTTCCATTCATTCTGCTGTTTTCTCTCTGTGGGAGCAGAGCAGGAGGAAGGGCAGGAGTTGTTGTGCTGCCCACTGGTGAGGGTAGAAGAGATGACACAGAGATGGTCTGTCTTGATAGTTTGGAACTGAGCAAGTGCCAGATCCAGGGTGTAATTCAGTAATTTTAAGTCTTAGAGACACTCAATGCATAAAATAAATGAGAAATGGTGGTGGATGTGGTCAAGAACTATCCTAAATAGAGCTTGATACAATGCAAAATAAAGTTACTGTCTGGAGCTGTGCAATCAGCTTGGAGTATTTTATTCTTACTTTTCCTGACTTCCATACCTCCAGAGGGAAAAAAATCCTTCAGATCTTGTTTTAGGGGAACTGGGTGAGCTGGGTTGTACCTGTGTGGTTTCTCCTGCACATCAGCAGTGCAAGAACCAAATATATTTCATGTATTATGGCATTTGATCCCTCAGTGGTGCGGGAGGGAGAATCTGTCCCATCTCTAATCCAGTTTAATCTGGTCAGTGGTGGTGGGTTTTTAAGTTTGTTTTTTTATTTTTTTTATTAATTTTTGGCTGGCACAAAAGAACTGCTGCAGAGCTCCTTCGGGTGGTTTGATTACCTGGCAGATTGTAGGGCTGGGTAAATGGAGGTTTCTTGGGTTGACAGGATTTTCCTGTTTGAAGTGTTAACCAGTGGAATGTGTGTGCAGGGAACTGAAACTCAGGCCAACAAAGGAACGCTCAGGGACAAAGCCAATCGTGCAGGGTTCAAATCTGCCAGTTTTATCCTCATGTCTTAATTTATAAAAGATGTCTTCTACATCTGCTTTGTGTAGTAAATAGAGCTGACAAATCTTCCTCTTGGTTAGGGTGAAAATAAATGCATTTATGAGAAAAATGCAGTTCCACCTTTGCAGTCTTTAGGAGTTGAAGTCAAGAGCAGACCTGAATGAAGAAGTTTTTGAAACAGCTTCCCTGAAACTCGTTGAGGGAAATAAAACAATGTCCTTAATTACAGAGCCTGAACTGGAACTTTATTTTTAGATTATTTTTTGTTTTTCTGAGCTGTACCTGGAGTTGTTCCTCAGAATGACTCGGTTTATTGGCCAGAGCTTTATTGCTGCTTCTGTTCTGAGTGCTGGGAGGTTTCAGCTGCCAGCCTGGAATTCCAAGTGCAAGCAGGAAAATGCTTTCTTCACCTGTGCTCTTTAGACTTAAAGCTCCGTTCTGAAGTTCAGTTTTATTTCAAGGCAGCTCTTGGTTCTTGAGCTGTTCTGGCCCTGCTGCCTCTTTAAACTTCAGTGGAAAGTTGTCCTGCAGGGAGCGCTTGGAATGGTTCTGCCATGGTCACAGATGATGTCATGTGGTTTTCATTCAGGCCTCCCTCAGGGAGTGACGTATTCCAGAACATCCCATACTTGGCTTGTTTCCAGGGTTATTGTGCCATCATTCCCAAAGTTCTCACTTTTATGGAGGTGCTATGAAATTGCTTTAAACTCTGATATCCTTTGGAGTTTGATAATACTCTCCAAAGATGGCATTTATGAAAGTGCTGTGGATTTGGTAACAGTGTGAACAAACACCTGCCTGGGAATAAAGGATTCCTGGTCCTCAGCTCAGTGATACCTTTCATTAATCCTGCACTGGGAAATGAAATTGTGTTCCTGTGAACAGACAGAGCTTGTCTGGAGTGTTTAGAGTTGCAGTGGATAAGCACTTCTTCATTATGAAACCCAAATTGCTTCTACAACTTCTCACTTGCCTTTTTTTTTTTTTCTTTATATATTTTTTTTTCTTTTCAAACTGAGAAGTGTTCAGAGAGATGCAGTTCAGTGTCTCCCAGGAAGGCCCTGGAGTTGAGAGTTAAGCTTCTGCTGTAGTGGAAGCTGCTGGAGAAGAGGTTTTTCTGTGGAGGGATTGGATATTTTAATGGAAATCTCTGGCCTGGCTTCCTGAAGAGATGGTTTTTAATTCTCTGTGCAACGAAGGGGGAATGAGCTGCATGGCACTTCTGTGTGTGTGGGAAGACAGGTTCTTTTTCCAGAGTTTTCGTGACTTTGCTGTTGAAAATCAAATAGATTATGGCTTGGTTTGGTTCATCACTAAGGGGCAAAGGTGGTATTTTAACCACGTTTTGGGACTATTTAAACAGCTTAGTGTAAGTGTGAATGCATACAAACATCCCCAGAGGGGACAACTCAGCTTTAGCACTGGAAATTCGAATTCTGGTTGCAAAATAACGCTGAGTTACGTTGCCCTCCTGCTTCATTTATGAAAACATGAAAGTTCTGCAGTGGGAAACAGGAGTTGCTTGCGGGTTGTCAGGAGTTCAGTGCAGTTGTAGCGTCAGGTGGTCTTCGAAGCACGTTCGCCGTGCCCTGGGTGTTGTGGTTGGTGTGTTGGTGTTTTATTGCTTTATTGGAAGCTCTGTTTTCCAGGAATAGTCTGTCCTCTTCCTGCTTGGCTCAGGGAAGGGGCTGAGCTTGGCAGGTGTGTCGATGCCACCTTCAAACACCACTTCCCTTGAACTCCCTAAAACACTTGTAGCACATCCCATGGACTTCTTTTAGCACATCCCAGTTTTTTTGGGATGTGCCCTGCTGAAAAATGGTAATGAGCCTGGGTGTTGATTTTTTTTGTCCCAATATAAAGTTGACGTGCACTTGTTCTGCTGAGAAGTGCCTTTCCTGTGGGATGAGAAAGAAATGAGTTATTAAATGTGGAGCAGAAACCACTTAAGGTTAAAAAAAAAAAGGGGGCTAGAAAATTACAGTTAAGCCAAAAAAAGAGCTTTAGAGAGTTGGATTGCTGCTGCTGCTGCTGCTGCTGCTTTTAAAGGATTAGGAAAATATGACTTTGTTCACTGGGAGATCTCAGCAGCTGGCAGCATGAAAAAGAGCAAACTTTGTAGGTTGTCTTTTGAGTTGGGGTGACCACTTTTATTTTCATTTTTCTGATGGACAAGCCGTGGAGCAGAGCAGCTGTTTGTGGCTGCTGGTCTCAAGGCCAGATCAGTGGTAGCAGAATATTCAGATTGTTCCTGAACAGCACAATTCCACTGATGCAGCAAGATGGAAAATAACATAAATTAGCAGTCAGAACTCTTAAGAACAATATTAACTTTTTAATTCCTTTCTGAAATGCAAAGGGTTGTAACAGTAGGTTTCCCTAAGTGGTTTGGCAGACGGAATAGTTTAGTTTCTGGCACTGCAAACCTATTTCCATCCTATTTTGGTGGCTTTCCTATCTCATTTGTGAATTGCTGTAATGCTTCAGCAAAGTGTGTTTATTTGTTAGCTTTAAAATACTAGGGCAGGCCTGTGATGTCAGAGCAGTGCTTGGCAATAGCTCTTACCCAGGGACTGACAGTGCTGCTTCCAATAACTGGAGCAGTGTGGATTGATCCTAGCTGATGATCATGAGGAACAGCTTCATTTGCAATTGGAACTACCTGCAGAACAGCTCCTATCTAATGGCTCAAAGTCTAGAGCTGGTTTTTCCAGACTTCATGGGAATGCAGTTACTAAACCGTCTCTTTTAATCCTCTTGATTAGGCCTGAAATTGGAAAAAAAAATTTTTTAAAAATTACTAAATTTGCAGAAATCTTAGATAAGTTTTAAAACTTAGCAGAGTGGCTATTTTGTACATCCAAACTACGCTGTGGCAGGATTGATAAAGGTGGATTTTTTTGCATGTGGCACACAGGAGGGATGCTCACTGACACACGCAAACGTGGGCCTGAGAGGGGTTTCTTTTTAAAAACCACAGAGAATCTGAAATCAGAAATATTTGTAACTACATCTGTGATGTCTGGCACAGCTGAAAATCAATTCCTACCTCTCCTGCAGGTATTAAAAAATACGTTGTCGGCCTAATTATCAAGACCTCATCAGACCCAACGTGTGTAGAAGTAAGTGGTGACTCCTTCAGAGGGGAGGACGAGGGAGGGGAGCTTTGGGCATAACCTGACCGGTCTCTTCTCTCCCTCCAGAAAGAGAAAGTGTACATTGGGAAACTGAATATGATTCTCGTTCAGGTGAGCTGGGATTTTGGTAGTTTTGAACCTTGCCGTGAAGTGTCTCTGCCTTTGCCACGTTGTGTCTCACCTCGGGCTGCTCCGCTTTGCAGATCTTGAAACAGGAGTGGCCCAAGCACTGGCCCACCTTCATAAGTGACATCGTGGGGGCCAGCAGGACCAGTGAGAGCCTCTGTCAGAACAACATGGTCATCCTCAAACTCCTGAGCGAGGAGGTGTTCGATTTTTCCAGCGGCCAGATCACTCAAGTGAAAGCCAAGCATTTGAAAGACAGGCAAGTAGATACATTTCAGCTTCATTAACGGGGTAAATTCTGGGCTTGCTGCTGTTTAGTTGCTCTCCCTGCAGATGTCTCATGCCATTTCTGAGAGCCAGTGGGTTTCTGATTTTTTTTAAGAGCAAGGATACCTAACTATTGTACATCCAGGGATCTCTGCCTTGTTGCCGGTAGCATCTGCTGACTGATGGTTCCTGCCCTTTTAACAGATTGTATTCCCTAAGCCAGAAGTTGCAGGCACAGGATTCCAGCTGCTTCAAACTATGCATTATTTCCAGGTGGCTTGTGAATGCAAGACCTGTTTTGTGTGCGTAGATATTTCTATTTATGAAGGTGGAAATGCTTAATCTTTAATTTATTTTGTTTTACAGCATGTGCAATGAATTCTCGCAGATATTTCAGCTGTGTCAGTTTGTGATGGTAAGTCACAGTTCTTTACTGATGTTTTTAAGAACTCTCTCCTGCCTAACCAAGTGTCACAATGTCATAAACACTTCTTGGTCCTTCACAGGAAAACTCCCAAAATGCTCCCTTAGTCCACGCAACTTTGGAAACTTTGCTACGATTTCTGAACTGGATTCCTCTGGGATATATATTTGAGACCAAGTTAATCAGCACACTAATATACAAGGTACTCCTGCAAAAAGAAAAGAAAAGAAAAAATGAAAAGGAGCACTCTTAAAATGCAACCCAACTGCAGCCAAGCTGAGAGGGCAGCACTTCTGTAACGCTCTTTATTGTTCTTTCCTCGGCAGTTCTTAAATGTTCCCATGTTCCGAAACGTGTCTCTGAAGTGCCTCACAGAGATTGCAGGGGTCAGTGTCAGCCAGTACGAGGAGCAGTTTGTGACACTTTTTACCCTGACCATGATGCAGTTAAAACAGGTAATGTCTGTAATGAATCTCCCTTCGACCGTCCCGAAAGCAGTTTGTGAAGAACCTACTCAGACACCCATTAGATCAGATCTCCTGATAGGACGAGGGTTGTTCTTCAGTGGTATTTGTGGCCACGATCAGAAGATGCTGAGTGTATTTTTGTGACTCATTTGCAGCTGTCTTGGTTTGATGAATTAGTTCATTCGGAGCACTTGGGCTTTCTGATGTTGAAAGTAGAGAGAGGCACAACAGAACGTGCTACGTGGTTTTTAAGTCTTAACCCGACCCAACTTCTGCAAGTTGCTGTTTAATTTTTGGAACAGAGAGAAACATCTATCATACAAAACCACACATGAAATTGTATTTAATTTGATAATTCCCCTCTGAGCAGTTCAGATTCAGGTACAAGAATCTGTAACTTTCCTTATTGTATTTGCATCATAAGTAGACAGTTAAAGGGTTTTTTTGACAGTTTTTACCTCTCTTTGCAATACTGGTCCATCTTTAGGGTTTGCTGATACACAGTAGTTCTTCTGTATAAAAAAACAAATTCCTGACTGTGCCTCCATCCCTTTTAATTAGATGCTTCCTTTAAATACCAATATCCGACTTGCATACTCGAATGGCAAAGATGATGAACAGAACTTCATCCAGAACCTCAGTTTGTTCCTCTGCACGTTCCTCAAGGAGCACGGGCTGCTGATAGAAAAAAGATTAAATCTGAGGGAAACACTAATGGAGGTGAGTTCCTTGCTTTAGCCAGTTCAGAAATGTAAGCAAGTGTGTTTTCATACTCTACAATGTAGTTTTTAAATCATTATACTCAGCCCTAACTCTTAATGAATTTGGTTGCAAATATCCAATTGTAGCTCATTTAGAACTCAGGAGTATCACTTTTTTAGTTTAAAGGAACAGCTGTCAGCAGTTCCCAGAGAATTCTTGAATTGGCAGGTAGCAAGTGTTTAAAATAAAGGGGGAATTCTTCTTTATAACAGATGTTTATAAAGCTTGATTCTGAACAACTTGAGTCTCGTTTAGGATGTTGAAATGGCTGCAGATTTAACTTGATACACTCTGGTATAACAGAACCTGGTACAGGCCTTTCAAAAGAAAAGCTCTGTCATTCCAAGCTGTGCATTCCTGCTCTTGGGATGCAGCAGATCTCCTCAAGTTGTTCCACAGATTCGTGGGATCTCTGTGGACTCTTGAAGGAAGCTCCATCAGTTATTTCCAGTGAAATCACCAAGAGGGATTGATGTGTGTAAGATGAATGTACGGCTGTTTGAAATCCCTCTCGTGATGCTGTAGATGGAGATGCTCGATCAGATCTTTACCTTGGAGAACACTGCAAGTTGTTCCAGTACCTCAGCTGCGAAAATGTCTGCAGGTTTTATCACCAGGGAACTGAAAAATAAGCTTAGGCCAAAAAATGTTTATCTATGTAGCTCTAATTTCTATAGTTGATGTCTCAGCTTGTCAGAATTGCATCAGTGGCTTTCCCTCCTCAGCCTGCTCTGGTTGTTCTGTCTGTAAAGAAGTTGAAAATGTCCTGGTGGATCACTTGTATGGGAAGCAAAGGAGCAGAATTCCTGGGGAAAAGGACCCAGAACAAAGCAGCAGTAATAGTCCTGAGAACAGCAATCACTGGCACCAGCTGTTGAGGCCTTTGAGGCTCTGGAAATGCCCTGCAGGAGCTCCAGAGGCCACGGGTTTGATAATTTACAAACAGGCTGGTTTGGTGATGGCATTTCTTAAGGATGTCTTTAGGCTACTTCAGATCTGAGAGTTCAGACACACTTTGAAAAATAACAATAATTGACAGAACTCCTTGTTTGTGAGTTGCTCTGCCAGTCACAACTCTGACTTGACAGTGATGTCACTGCAGTGCTACTGCCTCTTCTTCCAAACTCTTGGCATTTTATCAGGATTTATCAGGGATAACTGAACTTAAAACAACTGTGCATCTATAATCTGTAACGGGCTGTCCACGCTTTTCCAGGCTCTTCATTACATGTTGTTGGTATCAGAAGTTGAAGAAACGGAAATTTTCAAGATCTGTCTCGAATATTGGAACCATTTGGCTGCTGAGCTCTACAGGGAAAGTCCCTTCTCAACATCTGCTTCTCCACTGCTTTCGGGGAGCCAACACTTCGATGTTCCTCCCAGGAGGCAGCTTTACCTGCCTGTTCTGTCCAAGGTAACCCAGGCTTAAGGAAAGATCTGCAAAGATCCAGATAATAAAGATTTTGCTTCTTGCAAGGAGTGACTGAAGAAAACTCCCCTTTCTTTGAGTAGTTGGTAGCTGATTCAACTCTTACTTCTGTCATCCCCTGCAATTAGGAAAATACTTGAGGTGACACCGGTGTATAACAAGGGTAAAAACCGTGTTTCAGCTTTTTTAAGATAAGAGATGTGAGATAAGATATGAGACCTAATTTAAAAAGAAATCAGTGTTAAATGGTTTCTTTTCACAGAAAGGCTGGAGTGTCACAGTTGGGAGTAAAAACCTTTGTGCTTGGGAGAAGTGATCTTTGAAAGACTCCTACTATGACATAGGCATTTTGAATCTGAAAAGTTTATCTGCTTTTATCTTCTATCTACTTATCTATAAGCGTGGCTGGGAGCCTGTGGGAACTGTGGGAGTGCTGTGGTGTTCCAGCAGGTTCCATTGTCTCTCCCCCAGGTGCGGTTGCTCATGGTGAGCCGCATGGCCAAGCCTGAGGAGGTCCTGGTTGTGGAGAACGATCAAGGGGAGGTGGTTCGGGAATTCATGAAGGACACAGACTCCATAAACTTGTATAAAAACATGAGAGAGACACTGGGTGAGTGGCCTGGCTGGAAGAAATATGTTTTTATCAAATGCAGATGGGAACACTGAGGGTTTAATAACAGGTTTTGGCACTGGGAGTGTGTGTGGGAAAGCTGTGGGATGCCAAGTGTGTGTGGGGATTATTTTTATCCTCACCCTTGTCCTTTTGGTGCAGGTACAGCCAGTGTAAGGTTAATTGTTGTAATTATTCTAATTGTCCACGTTTTTATATAGAACGTGGTAAAACTTTAGTGCTACTGTATAAATATTTATTTGATTTATTGGAATAAGACAATTACTGTATGTCCTGAGCCTTGGTTGTATTTCCAGGTACAGGATTATTTATATGAAAATGCAGGTTTGGTTCATATTGCTTTTAGTGTATTATCTTGTAGGATTCACTTAAAAAAAAAGGGAGAATGTGGTTGCAGCTGTTTCCTGTGGTCCAGTAAAAATCTATTTCTGAACCTGGCCTTAAATTGCTCTTGACTTGCTGGGATTTAGGATTGTATGTTGGAGACGGTAATCCTATTAGGGGCTGATGCAAATGTCTGAGTTGTGGTACCTGAATCTTCCACCTGGGCCTGTTCAGGAGCAGCAGCTCCAATTATTGCACCAGCAGACTTGGGAACACTGAAAGAAAGAGGCAGAGAGACTGTTCAGTGTCCCCCACAGGCAGCCAGTCCCACATTCCCTCCAGACCATCAGTTCAGATGCCTTTGGGTCATAATTGAACTGGGCAGCTTTACTGATTGCACTGGTGTGGGAGACGTTCATTGGTTTGGACTTCCCACATTGTTCTGAGGGATCTCAGCAAAACATCACATGCAGGCAGACCCAATAAAATTTACTGTCTGTCTTTAAAGCAGAGTTTCAACAAATTTGTGTTTAAAGCATCTCATTTTGTGCTGAGTTCAGCAGAGGAGCACTGCAATTGCCTGATAGTTTCAGTGTATTTTTATTTCACTGCTTATGGAGTTGCTGCTTTAAAATGTGCCTGTTCCACGTGTCGATGCCTTTCAGTTTACCTGACACACCTGGACTATGCAGACACAGAGCGAATTATGACTGAGAAACTCCACAATCAGGTGAATGGGACGGAGTGGTCGTGGAAGAACCTGAACACCCTGTGCTGGGCCATCGGCTCCATCAGCGGCGCGATGCACGAGGAGGACGAGAAGAGATTCCTCGTGACAGTAATTAAGGTATCCCAGGGCAGAACCATCAGCTCTGCTCAGACTTCACAGTTCAGGCACAAGTGTGGAGAAAGGCTGCTCTGTGTCCTTTTAGAAAGCTGCCTTGTAAATGCAGGGGGATGAGAGTAAATGAGTGGGAGATGTTGGGTCCTGAACGTGGGGCTGGTAAAGGTGTTAGCCATGACCAGTGCATTGATCCAATCAACCTCCTCCTGGGGGAAAGTTCAGTTCATGGTGAGGTGTCTTTCTTTGGGGATGCAGAAGAGCTGGAAAGGAGTTGCTGATGAAATAACAGGGGAGTGGCACAATAACCCATTATTTGAACTAGCCTAGCACCGTGCTGCTTTGCTATTTTCTTTAATAAATTTCTTCATTAATAAAACTCAGATTCTCATAAATATGTGCATAATATTTTTACAAGAGTAATGGACCTTTAGCAGGTCATCTGAATTCACGCAGGAGATTCAGTTTAATTTCTTTCATTTGATGTGAAGTGTGTATTTCATTGATCTCAACCACTCAGACAGTCTTAGGGACTGTGAGGCTTGTGGAAGTGCCCCCTGAGGGAATCTTTAGTTATATGTAACATGGAGATTCTGTAGTTTAAAATACAGTGATCTGAAATTATTTCATCACCCCAATCTTAACCCACGTGCTTGTTTTTTTTTTATTTCTTAATTTGGGTTTTGAACTCTATTATGGCAACCACTTTAATGTAGCTCCTTATAGGATTTTATACTTTTTATTTAAACTGGACAAACTGGAGGAGGAAACTAAGAATGTGTTGTGTTGCAGGATCTCCTGGGACTGTGTGAACAAAAGCGAGGCAAGGACAATAAAGCCATTATTGCATCAAATATAATGTATATAGTAGGTCAATACCCTCGGTTTTTGAGAGCTCACTGGAAATTCTTGAAGACAGTAGTCAACAAGCTGTTTGAATTTATGCATGGTAATTATCTGGGGTTTTTTTTCCTCATTTGTTGTTTTAATTATTAAAAAAAAAGATGCCTATACATAGACATGTACAGGGGGAAAATCCAAAGCAGTGACTGCCTTGCTTTGCTTTAGAAACCCACGATGGTGTCCAGGACATGGCTTGTGACACCTTCATCAAAATCGCCCAGAAGTGCCGCCGGCATTTTGTGCAGGTGCAGGTGGGAGAGGTGATGCCGTTTATCGACGAAATCTTGAACAACATCAACACAATCATCTGTGACCTTCAGCCACAGCAGGTGTGTTTGGTTCAGTGGTGTGGGTGATTCCTAAAGACTCATGGGAAGGTACTTCCTGGGGAAAGGCGGGGGTTTTTCAAGGGGTTGGTTATATTCCTTAGGTTTTTGTTAGGGACAGTGTCAGCAGACAAATGGCACAATCAGGTTGTTTATGTCTGGCTATGGCTGTTTTTTCCTCCCTCCTTTGTAACCCCCCTGCCTGCTGTGCCGCTGCTCCCCCAGGTGCACACGTTTTACGAAGCGGTCGGGTACATGATCGGGGCACAGACGGACCAGACGCTGCAGGAGCACCTGATAGAAAAGTACATGTTGCTGCCCAACCAGGTGTGGGACAGCATCATCCAGCAGGCAACAAAGGTGAGCTCCCAAACTCTAAATGTCTGCTGTGCTCAGGTAAAAAGCTGCTAAATGTTTATTGGTCATGTGCTGTCACATGAAGTGCCCAGAGCTGGGGTGGACGTCGTGACACAATGGCTGAAAACAGTCCTTGACATGACAAGGAAAGTGTTGCTTTGAGAGAGGAGACTTAAGTGACAAAATATTGGTTTAAATCTGATTTAAAGCACAATTTTCTCTTACTTACAGAGTAGATTTTTTTTTTCAGTAGTTTTTCTTTTTTTCAGTAGATTTTTAAAGGCCTCCCCTTCACCTGGCTCAGTGGGTTTTCTTTTTGGATAACAGAGAAGTTACAATGCTCAAAGCACCGTAAAGCACATCTTTATTTCTTACTTTTACATTCCATTTCTTTCAGTCTTTCAAAACGCTTCCCACATTAAAGAACTGCAGTCTTGACACTGCACAAGAGACAATCCATTTGCAGTTAATCTAATTAAGGGCCTGAAACTTCAGTGAGCTCGAGTTACTTTTCCGACTCTGACTTCCCTCCTAAAAAAACCATTTCCACTGCATTTCCTTGGGACCACTTCTGTTTTCACCTTCTTCATCTCCTGAGGTTTTTTTTTTCCCTTTCTGTAACTAGAGTAAATGCTTGTACCACTGCAGCAAAAATCCTTCTGCAGACGAGCAGAATGAAATAATTTTGAGGTTTATCCTGACTCTGTGTGTGTGTGTGTGTGTGTGTATATATATTTATATGAAACCCATGAAAGCAGTGATGTGTTCTTTAAGGCAGTGTATAAGATAAATTGCTTCAACTTAAAGCTCTCATATTGAAAGCCACAGGGCGGTTGTATTCACTAACAAAGATGAACTCTTTTAATTTTTTTCAACCAGAATGTCGATATCCTGAAGGATCCTGAAACAGTCAAGCAGCTTGGTAGCATCCTGAAAACCAACGTAAGAGCGTGCAAAGCAGTCGGCCACCCCTTTGTGATTCAGCTTGGAAGAATTTATTTAGATATGCTGAATGTGTACAAGTGCCTAAGTGAAAATATTTCTGCAGCTATTCAGGCTAATGGTAAGAAATTCCATGTTATTCCTGAAAATGGGGGTAAAGTACATCCCAGTTAGGTTATTGACGCTGATTTTACTGTTTGGGAGAGTGGAGAAGGATTGAAAGTGCTTGCTCAAGTCTCTTTGTTAAGCAGTTGTATTGAAATAAAGAACTCCCAGTTTTAGAAGGAGGAGGAAACATCTCTGAATGAGGAGGTTTAAGGAAGATTCAGAGCAATGGAGGTGCTTGCTTAGAATTAATGGGCATCTTGCTGAGACCAAGTAATGCGTGTTCTTGTAGCTGACTCTGATTTGGAGTGTTAAAAGCCTCTCTGTAAATAGAATCTCAGTCATTTCCTCAGAAGCTGTTGGCAGGTTTTGTACCAGACTCTGCTGCTCCAGAGCTGTGCTGCAGAATTGTAAGTGAAGAGGCCTCAAAATTCAGGATAAACCAGGCTTTCAGTCACAGAGGAGGAATTATCAATTACCTCACAACGCTATTTTTGCCAGATAAATAAGGGCCTGTGGTGTCTCAGCAGAAGGTGCTGCTGTGGTGCTTCATTACAAGATGAAATGAGTCAGTTGGTGAGTTGTGTGTTCTGAGCAGTTTTCAGGCCAGTGGAGATGATGATACCTGGAAATGGGAATGTCAGATGGAACGTGGGAACGGAGCAGCCCGTTTACCTTGAAGGAGCTTCTCAGAATTCGGAATAAAAGTGGCTGAGAAATCAATACCTTTTCATTCAGCAGCTCTAATGGCCAGGATTTGTCCTTGTCAGGCAGAGTGAATTTGAGGAAGCAGTTACTGGGGCTGGATGTTCTCCTTGGCCAGCAACAGCTGGGACTGCAGTTACCTCAGAGCATGTTTTTAACAACTGGTGAAGATTAAAGACAAAGGAAGCCTTTTTTTAATAGCGTTTGTAATTTGGATATAAAATCAATCATTCTCAGTTTTGTTCATGTTATTGTTTTACACCTCACACAATTAACTGAAGCTTTAACATTTTCCAGGTGAAATGGTAACAAAGCAGCCCTTGATTAGAAGTATGAGGACTGTAAAAAGGGAAACTCTCAAACTGATTTCTGGCTGGGTGAGCAGGTCCAGTGATCCACAGATGGTAAGTAGATGCATTTTGTACAAACAACTCCTAAGGCAGAATTGGGAGGAACTCTGGTTCTGTTGACTGAACCAGGTGGTCACAGGAGACCTTGCCTCAGGAGGTCTGTGAAATAGAGAGGATTGGTAAGCTTAGGTGTGTTTGAGATACTTCAGTTTTTAGTGATCTTGGAGGGAATGAAGGAGGTTTAAGAGCCCGGTGGGAGCTGTGCTGGTTGGACACAGAGGATGGGAACGGATTTCAACTTCCCTGTTTAGTTCCAGGCAACGCTTTCCCTTGGGAACTGCACTGCATGACCACGCTTTCCTCTTCCAATCAGGTAGCTGAAAACTTTGTTCCTCCGTTGTTGGACGCAGTTCTCATCGACTACCAGCGCAACGTGCCCGCGGCGCGGGAGCCCGAGGTGCTCAGCACCATGGCCATCATCGTCAACAAGCTGGGGGGGCACATCACCGCTGAAATACCTCAGATCTTCGATGCTGTCTTTGAGTGCACACTAAACATGATCAACAAGGTATTTACCGGGGGGGACATCTCTCTATGGGAATAGAATTCCCATACTCGGTGTTTTGAGAATCATCTCCCTGGTTTTTTGCCAGTCACAGAGTGGATTTGATGAAATGTCTGCTCAAAGATCTTAGGATGGAACTTCAGGAGATTTGACTTTTCTCTCCCCTTCTCTTTCTAGGACTTTGAAGAATATCCTGAACATAGAACAAACTTCTTCTTGCTACTGCAGGCTGTAAATTCTCACTGCTTCCCAGCCTTCCTGGCCATTCCACCTGCACAGTTCAAACTTGTTCTGGATTCTATCATTTGGGCTTTCAAACATACCATGAGAAACGTTGCAGATACAGGTAAATTGCAGTGTTTGATGCAGATCAGGTATTTTCTGCTAGAATGCTGTTTTCTTTAGTGCAGCTCGGCATATCAGTCGTTATTTGCACTAGAGGAATATTCCTGTGCCTCAGCTCCGAGGTGCCAGCCAGGTATCCAGGAATGGGCTGAGATACTTGGTTGCTGTTTGATTCCTGCAGCTGGAAGGGAGCACTGTTACAGTTTCTGCTTGCACTCTTCTGAAATGGCTGAGTGAATGCCCCTGCTCACACTGGTGCTACAAAAAACCTGTGAAAACACTGATTTTTTTAAGTCATTTGCCTTGTATCAGTGTGTGTAAGGAATGGGGAGAAGATGCTGTCGTGTTTCACCTGAGAAAGTGATTTAAGTTTCCACGTAAATCTGAACATTAAAACACTTTCCCTTGTTTAATTAGCAAGCACTGGGTGGAGGGTTTCCCTCAGTAGGTGCTGTGATTTGCCCTCTTTGCTGATGGTGTGCTAATGCAGCTGCAGGGCTGGGCCCTGTCAGGCCAGCAGTGCCCTCTGGTGCCTGCCAGAGCCCTCACAAGCCATGCTGGGTTTTTTGGGGCCAACCAGAATTCCTTGGCACGTTTCTGTCGTTTTGGAAAAGGCCAAAACCTTACAGTTTTTGTGTTTTTTTCCAGGACTTCAGATCCTTTACACTCTCCTCCAGAACGTTGCCCAGGAGGAGACGGCCGCCCAGAGCTTCTACCAGACGTATTTCTGCGACATCCTCCAGCACATCTTCTCCGTGGTGACAGACACCTCGCACACTGCAGGTAGGAACGTGCCGGTGGGGGAGGCAGGGGATGGAAACCATCCCTCATTCCCATTGGGAATTCATCCCTGCCCGTCTGACCCTCTGATCCCCGCAGGTCTGACGATGCACGCGTCGATCCTGGCCTACATGTTCAACCTGGTGGAAGAGGGGAAGATCAGTACTCCCTTGAACCCCGGGAATCCGGTGAACAACCAGATGTTTATCCAGGAGTACGTGGCCAATCTCCTCAAGTCTGCATTTCCTCACCTGCAAGAGTAAGTGTGCCACGATTCCTCGGTGCTTCCAGGTGGGCTCTTGCGCCTCGGGATGTTTAACGGGTGTGTTTGTGTCAGTGCCCAGGTGAAGCTGTTCGTGACGGGACTGTTCAGTTTAAACCAGGATATTCCTGCCTTCAAGGAACACCTAAGGGATTTCCTGGTCCAAATCAAGGTATGTTGGGCGTGCTTTTTGCCAATATTAAAACCAGTTTTTCGGCAGGATATTGTTGGGAAGCGCTTGGACGGTTTGTTCATTCAGTTTTTGCCTGGGAGACGCAAATTTCCTTGCAGCTTCTTAAAATGCACCGAGAACTCTGTCCAATGGTTTGTGGTGTTCCATGGAATCTGTTCCAGTGGGATTTAATTTTATAAATTGGGCTTAAATATCATCACTTGTATTTTGTGCTGCACACACACAATTCCTGTGTCTAAGACAACTGCAGAACTTACTCTAATGGGTTATAAATTGATTTTTAACCAGATTTTGTTTCAGTTCTGCTTGGAACTGGGACCAGTTTTGAAATTTGCTGCAGTAATGCTATGCCTTTATTTTTCTGAAGATGCTAGAATTAAAAGATGGTAGAAAAGAGTTTATGAGTTAGTTTTGAGATGGCAATTGTCAGATATTTCCCAATTGTAGTGATTCTGCTGTAAATGTCAGGATTCTGCTCCCAATGCTTGGTAACTGTAGCATCCCCTTCTGTGACACGTGGTGGGAATCCTCAGTTATTTTGCATTGCGTTCTGTTAGTTTTGACTTTAGGAACAGAAAGCCAAGCAAAAACAGTCTGTCAGAGGATGGGAAAATGTTTTCTGTGTCATTCTGGAAGCTCAAAACTCTGCCTAAAGCACTTGACAATAAACTGATGGTTTTTCTGTGAATTACCCAGGAATTTGCAGGTGAAGACACATCAGACTTATTCTTGGAGGAGAGAGAAACAGCCCTTCGACAGGCTCAAGAGGAGAAGCATAAACTTCAGATGTCTGTCCCCGGCATCCTTAATCCACATGAAATTCCTGAGGAGATGTGCGATTAAAAACAAAAATAAAACAAGTTTGGCAGTTTTCTTTCTGTACAGCTACTTTGTTGTGATAGAAGAAAACGGCACTTGGATATTTGTTGACCAAAATGATGCCAATTTGTAAATTAAAATGTCACCTAGTGGCCCTTTTTCTTATGTGTTTTTTGTATAAGAAATTTTCTGTGAAATATCCTTCCATTGTTTAAGCTTTTGTTTGGTCATCTTTATTTAGAGTTGCATGAAGTTGAAAATTAAGGCATTTTCAAAGTAATTACTTCATGCCCATTTTGTGGCTAAGGGGAAAAAATAGGCAAAAAAAACCCCCGTTAACTTGTAAAAGACTATATTGCAAAATAATCCAATTTCCTGTAAGAGTATCGATTTTTTTTTTTTAATTTTTTTTTTTTTTTTTAAAAATTCGGTTTTCTTTCTAGTCTGTCCTGCAGTCTAGGAGAAAAGGTGAAGAGTAAAAGCAGATGGAATTCATTGTTCAGCAGAGGATTCTAGCGCTGCCTTTGTTCCGAGCAGTTGGCAGCTTTTTTGGGAGCGAGTGGTGAGGCTGTAGGCTACGTGTTATTTGCAAGTTGTATGGCGAGTTTGCAGCGAGATCATGTGCATATCATCCCATTGTAAAGCGACTTCGGAAGAGTATGGGAACACAGTACAGTTTAGTTATTTTTACACAGTTCTTTTTGGTTGTTTTTTTTTTTTTTTTGTGTGTGTGTGCTGTCGCTTCGTCGACAACAGCTTTTTGTTTTCCTCAATGAGGAGTGTTGCTCATTTGTGAGCCTTCATTAACTCGAAGTGAAATGGTTAAAATATTTATCCTGTTAGAATAGGCTGCATCTTTTTAACAACTC